ACTATTACAGACTGCACTACTATTATAGACTGCACTACTATTATAGACTGCATTACTATTATGGACTGCACTACTATTATAGACTGCACTACTATTACAGAAAATACGATAATCATGAACTATTTGATAGGAAATATTGTTAGAAAAATGATTAATGACACTAAGAATAGGGAGCTAAGTTTGATTTTTTGATTTATTTTATTTGAATCTCTTTGAATCATCTATTGATTGCTTTGTAAATACATCTCTTCTGGCACACTTGATTTATCCTAAAGATACCCAGTAAAAATGAAGGATCAAGTATGCTAGAGAGTGCTTATTAGAGCAAAAAGTACTACTGTATTTTTAAAATAAATATCTCAACTTGCTAACAATGATGATAACCTCAAAAACAGCTAGCTAAACCCATATCATTCACATCATCGATAAAAAGCAGCGGTTCAACAAAAGAGGCTGTCCTCAAGTACCTTTTTTTTCCCTTCTTCAACCACTCATTCACCCCGATAATGCTTCTGAAGTGGGACAGACGTGTGTGGGTCTTTCGATCATGTCAAAGATTTGTGTGAATGAGTTCTTTCAAATATTCTTTCATCTCTTCCTTCTCTCTTCACACGTGTTTGTGTGGCCGCTAATGTTCTCAGGTTTTTCCAGGGGTCTCTTGTCTTCTTTTTCCTTCTTTTCCTCTTTTCTATAGATCTTTTTCTTATTCATGCCAATACAGCTTTTTTTCTCTTTTTCTTTTTCTTAGACAGGTTCTATGACCGACCCCCTCTTCAACCCATTGAAACGAGTGATCGAGACTGCCCCTTCCTTTCCATCTTTCCCTCCAGTACCCATATAATATAAAAAGACTATTAACTATTAGCTAATCTAATCTTTTTCATAAAACAAATCTCCTTTTCAATTATCATCTCAATTATTTGATTTGGTTTTGATAATTGAGTCGATTTTAAATGTTTTAGCAAATCGGCAAATCGCAAATCGCTTTCTTTCGTGAAGTAGTAGCTATTTTCCCTTTTTTTTCCATATTTTAAACATTTTTATTCTTTTCTGTTTTCTCTGATCTTTTTTTTGTCCATCCGATCACCATTCATCAGCTTGTTCTATTTTCTCTATTTTCTGAAAGAATTAGCCCTCGAAAACCACGTGCCCCAGTGCTTCGATTTCTTTAGAAAATGAAAATCTAAACTTTTCCCAAAACATTTCTGATTCAATATCAATCACAAGAATGTTTTCTCCAAAAAGCACAGGAACCATTTAATCTCTCGTTTAGTCTTTTGATCAAACAGCTCCAAGTTAAATTTGTCTCAGAAGAAAACGTAAATAACAAAGATTTCAGAACTTTTGTTTTGTTTTTAATGAAAACATTTTTTTTATCGTTAGGTGATCAAAATTTGATGTGGATTTTTTCTTTTGAAATCTTTTGAAATTCTAGCTTCTATATTGCACAAAGGTCTTAATTTAAAGATATACAAATAGTAATTTTTAATTAAATAATTCTGCTAGATTGAAACCGTTTCGCTTAAAGATAAAATGATCTGTTTTTTTTGCGTAAAGAACATTAAATATTCCATTAAAAAGAAGCGAGATTGCCAAATGAAAGGTTAACGGAGAGATTATAGAGTTGAATAGATATATATGCTGTGTCCGATTTAGATTTCCGTCCGATTTAGATTCAATCTAAATCTTATATAGATTGAACAATAATATAAACATGCTTAATATATGTTCTTAAGCGTTTTCTGTAGTTTTCTGCATTTTTCAAAGGTCTTTTATTGATTACAGTCTATATCGGACGTCCGATACAGATCGAACAATAATAAACGTGCTTAATATATGTTCTTAAGCGTTTTTTTGCAATTTTCTGAGCTTTTCAAAGAAATTTTATTGTCTTTTTTGAGAATTTTTTGTTTTCTTGTCCGATTTAGATTGAATCTAAATCGGACGGAAATCCAAATCGGACACAACATATATATGCTTTATTCAGTTGAATAGCGACAAAACAAAATCACAATAATTACCCGGGACGCCACTCAAAACACACCAAAAAGATAAATAGATACCTCAAGAAAGAATCACAGAGCAGTCAAATCAGTTGCCGAAATTGCGGCTTTAAATCTAGCCAAGGTGGGAATATCACGAACATGTGGGGGTAAAATGTTCCAGGATTTAATAACTCGATTAAAAAAGAAACTGTGGGGGCTTTTAGAGGAAACGGAAGGTTGGCGTATGAGAAAAGGCCCCCTTCTGGACTGTTTCGCTTAAAGATAAAATGATCTGTTTTTTTTTGCGTAAAGAACATTAAATATTCCATTAAAAAGAAGCGAGATTATCAAATGAAAGGTTAACGGAGAGATTATAGAGTTGAATGGATATATGAAAGAAAGAAAAAGAAAGAAAAAGAAAGGAAATGTCCCTATTGGATTCTGTGTCCATTTCCCTCTTTTAACCTATGAAAAGGATTCCAAAAAGACTCAAAACGCAAGCAAAACGAGGCGTTTTCCGCATTTCTTTGGCCGGAAGAGGGAAAAGAAACGAAAGAAGGGGTCGGCCTTGTGTTCTTTCTTTTTTATGCAAAAGATAGAAATCTCTTCTCTTGTTCTTTTTCTTCTTTAAAGATCTCCCTTTTACCCATGCCTATATTTCTCATCTTTTCCCCCTCCAGATGAACCATTCCCATCCATTCTTCGAGTGGTTATTATCCTCTCGTGTTTTTTTCCTCCTCGTCCATCCATCCATCCAAAGCTTCCGAGTTTTTGCTGGGTATTGCCTTCAAGCTATTATATCTGTTTACTTGTTACTTCTTGGACTAGTAACCAGAACCAGTTGAATCTCTTGAGTTCAGCTCAAAAAAAAAAACAGAAACCAATCTGCTTCCAACCGTTACTAGTGATTTTAAAGATTAACAAATTCTTTTTTGTTTTTAAACTTCTTAAAGAATCATCTCACAGTGAGTATGACAAAATATTATAATTTTGAAAGTAATAATAATAATATAATAATAGTAATATTAAAATATTATAATTAATATTATAATTACCTGTCAGTTTGTGTGTCTGTTATCACAATTTTGCTTAACTTTTTACGTAATGCAAAGGGTAAAGCAATGAACTAGGAGTATTTGTGGGTGAGGAAAGCGGGGGATTGATCGATTGATCGGATTTTTAGAAATTTTTACCTCTTGGCATCAAATATGCAAATTTCTGAGAATGGAGGAAGCAATCGAAGTTTTGGCAAGAATTGTGGAAAGAAGAGCTTTTGTATGCAAATTTTCAAATAGTAATTTCAAGGTTAATGCAAATTTTAACAAAGCAGCTGATGCTGACATAAAAAAAATGAAGACTTAATGTGAATATTCTGAATTGAATAGTTTATATCGTTGTAATGAGACAAGTGATCCTCTAAACAATCCCTTAATTCTCACTTTCTTTTTATTTTTTGTTTAGCCATTTAGGGAATATTTTGTTGGAAGAGCACGGGAGATTTTTCGTCAAGATTACTCAGATTCACTCGAGGTTACACTCTTTCTTTTCTTTTCTTCTCTTTTCTTTCCTTTTCCTCTACTTTTCCCCAATGTCCCTATTTTCACTCTTCGAAAAGTGCGAGTGTGAACCCGAGAAAGGAGGATCAATGTCACAAGAATGAGCACAGTTAGCACCTTTTTTTGTGTGTGGCTATCTTTACTTTAAAATCTTTACTTTAAGATCTTTACTTTAAGATCTTTAGTTTAAGATCTCTACTTTAAAATCTCTACTTTAAAATCTTTACTTTTTTTAATCCATATTCTTCTAATTTTCTTGCCCTCGTTGCCCCTAATACTTTAAAATTGCTCCTCATTTCCAACCGCCATACTTTTCTTCTCATTCTTCGTTTTTTTTATTTTCTGGTAAAAGTTATGTGAAATAACCCGAAATGGACTCGCAAAAAAAAGCATCGTTTTCATATTGGAGAAGAGATGAAAGAAAGGCACAATTGACTGGAAAAAGAAAAAAACCGCTAAGAAATAGAAAAGAATGGGAGAAATAGAAGAAAGAGAATAAAGAGGGGTGTCAGAATGGACACTTCACCGACAATGAATACCCCCCAATGAATACAACCACAAACGGTCTTTTAAAGAAAAAAAAGAAAAAGATTGGGGAATGCTTTGGAAAAGGTTTCTTCTTTTTGAGGGGGTTCATGGAGAGCGCTTTTAAGGAGAAAAGACGGTTGAATGAACCGTGCTGAAGAACTGAAGAGAGGATTCACAAGAAGGCGATCAACTCTCACCTTTTAAGTGCCTCTCCATCTAAATTGGATTATTGTTTTAAGATTAAACTTTTCTACACTCAATTTGCATATTTCAAACTTCTTAGTTTTCAGAAATAAAACAATTTTTTTGTTTTGAACTTTAAACTTTGAACCTTTGCAGTTTCTTGTGACAAAAATTTTGTATTTGTCAGTGTCAAGTGATTCCTGTGACACTCGTTTGGGTGACTTTGAAGTTCACTGACTCTAGGTGAATTCACGTTCGATGCCAATCAGTTTTTATCAATATCCAAACGAAAAATGAAACTCATAAGTACCATTTTCTCTTTCATTTGCTCATCTTGGTCTTCACAATTTCCCCGTGATCTTGATGCTTCTTCATTGTCGCCCCAAGAACAATGACATCGTTTCCCTCTGTCTCATCCTAGTCCTACTATCGTTACTATCGATTTTATCGTTTTTCGCCGTCATCTTATTGTTTTATTTTTAGTTTTATAATTGAATTGAATTGAATTGTGAGATCAACGAAATCTTTGACAGATCAACCTCAGAAAGATCTACCTATTGCTTCGGATTTCTTTGATTCGGCCAAAAAAAAAACGAGGTCGTCCCTCACAGCTGGTGGTCTTCATTTGAACGAATCTTCAAAAAGAACAAAAGTTGCTCATTTTTGACAGGACAAATTTTTCTAAAACCCTTATTCATTTCATTCACCTTTCGATGAAACACTGAGCTTTACTTTCAAAAGAAAAAAAATGGATATGATTCGAAGAAAAAAGCTTCGACAAGTCTTCTCTGTTGAGGTGAGTTTTAAAGTAAACAATTTCTTTTGTTTTCTAAAATTTTGTGAAAATTTTTGAGTTCCATAAATTCCATTGAATCTCATCACCGAATTAAGTCTATTTCGGATTGCTTTACGATAATATTAGGTTGGTGGATTGAAAACTGCGGGACTTTGAACTAAAATTTATTCAACATAAAACCAAAAATTCATTCCAAATAATTTCCATTATTATTGACGACTTCTGCCCATTTTACAAGCAATTTGCGGATTTCTCTTTCGTAGTAGGATTTTGATTTGTGTGTGCGACAAGTGTGAGACTCAAAAATCGAGGACTGGAGATGTCCCAGTTTGAGGACTTTCTTCAAAAGAAACCCATTTTGGTGTCAATAGAAAAGTTGTAGAGAATCAAAAATTAGGCTTATAGCGAAATTTCCAAAAAGATACACTTAGTAGTTTCGCTTAAAATGCAAGTTTTGTGAAAATTCGTGAATTTGGCATTTCTTGAAAACCAGTTTTTGAATCGTTCTGGAAATTTGGCTATAAGCTTGATTTTTGATTCTCTACAACTTTTCCATTGACACCAAAATGGGTTTCTTTTGAAGAAAGTGCTCAAACTGTCACCTATGACAATAGCCGGCAGTTTTCAATTCACCAACCCAATATTCATCGAATATCTATAAGTGAAAAAGGGAAAATGGGGAATTAAATGAGAAATGAGAATGGATAAGTGAAAGGAAAATCGAGTCATTTATTAGAAAAAAAAAGAATGAAAATTGCGCTTTTTCATTAGATCTTTTCGGGGGTTAAAGGGTCGCCTTTCCTCTTTTTTTTTCTTTTCTTTAATCTAAACCTTTTCCATTCAGAAGCGAAACGACTTTTATTAGAATTTCTCCCCTTGAACCCTTTCCTTTTCAAATTCCCCTCACTTCATCGTTTTCTTCATTTGATTCTCCTACCATTAATCTCGAGATTTCCAATGGAAAAGCCTTTGATATTCACAATCGATGAGGTACTCTTTGATTTTCATTTATTTTTATGATTTTGGTAAGAAATTTTCTTAGTTTAAACAATGATTCACTTTGGTTTCTGCCCAAAAAAAGGATTAAGTTTCAAATTCTCTCATTTATTTCAATAATTCCATTTCCAATCGTTTCTGAAATCAAAAATTTTTATCAGTTCCGGACTTTCCTCAAAAAAAAAAGAAAGAGTGAGGCTTTCTTTGCGTTTTCCAAAAAAAAAGAATTCCTTTTCTTTCCCAATCAGAAAACCCTTTTTAAACTATTCGGAATTTATTCAAAGAATTTCAACAACTTACATAAAAATCCCTGCCCTGCTTTTATCAATTCGATGACGTAAAATGTTTGAGACAACCGAAGATTTTGTGCTTTCTTTTGGTCGTTTATCGAGAAGTTTCAGTGTTATGGTTGGGTGAAATAGTTCATTTAAAATATAGTGAATAGGGTATGAAATACACTACTGGACAATGAAATATCATATTTAAAAAACGATCGTCACTTTCGCGCGTCTGTAACTCCCTTGTCTTTACCGTATTTCTAAATATTAATATTACCATCGTGTAGCCCTTGAAAAGAGCTTTCAGAAAATGCACAACACTAAGAGTTTAAACGCAAAGATAAGGGAGTTACAGACGCGCGAAAGTGACGATCGTTTTTTCAAATATCATATTTCATTGTCCAGCACTGTAGGTTACATTTTGTTGTCCAGCACTTTTGTATAATTTCAGCAATCAAGCGAGAGTTATCAAAGTAGTCCTCGATCGGGATCTCTTCAAAGAAGACATTCCGCCTATCAGCCCGATTTTGATGAAAATGCAGGTGAAGATTTTTCGAGATTTTAATTCAAAAAATTCAAAGCTGACACTTAACATTTCAATGTATTAAACTTTTAATTTTAAAAATCTAGAAAATTGATACCATTGATAGCCAAAATTAGCAAAAAGAGTTGCTTGTAAGTGAAGGAAATAAATCTGAATCTGAAAAAGAACGATTTCCTCTAGTTAAAGGGGTTTAGTAAGGAAAAAGGAAAAGGGAAAAAGGAAAAAGAACTGAAACGACAAAGTTTGTCTATTCGTGCTTCCATTGAAATTTATGATCTCTAAGAAGAAAAGAAAGAAAAAAACATCACTCCAATCAGACACACTTTTTCATGTTTTTTTTTCTTTTGGAAAAGAAAGTGAAACACGTTGAATTAAGCTATTCATTAAGCTATTCATTAAGCTATTCGTTAAGCTATTCATTAAGCTATTCATTAAGCTATTCGTTAAGCTATTCGTTAAGCTATTCATTAAGCATTTTATTATTTCTCATCAATGCAAATTCTTAATGAAAATTCATTTCTCATATATTCTTCTAGAAATTATGTGACAACGATTTGTGTTGATAAAGGTTTTTTTTGGATTAGAAATGAAAAGTTCGGTGTTTGAAATACAGAGCGATTAAGTGTGTGCAAAGTTAAGGTTTTCTTTTGTGCTTATTAAGCCTCTGCGAGATTTTCCCAAAAAAAACTACAAGAACATGAAACTATTTATTTGTCCTTTTACTACATTTAGCAATTTTTCACTTCTTTCAAATCTCGAGTTTTATCGATTTTTGTGCAATCCATATCTACGGAAATCCTTATTTTTGTAATCCCATCAACAGTATTTCTTTAGCTTTTTAAAATTAAAGTAATTATAATAATTCTCGATAAAATAGTAAATAATTATACTAAAGAAAACATTTTTGTTTGAAATGATGAAAGAAAGATGGCGAAAGATGGAGAAAGATGGACTTTCACTTAAATGGTAAATGGTAAAACGGTAAAACTTAAATGGTAAAACGTGAAAACCCGTTGACCAATCTCAAAACGGCTTTTACACTTGAAAAGACTAAAAGTTTGCAAGATTTTTCATTATGAAAGAAAAGATTGAACTTGTCGTCTTTGAAAACAAAAATTCGTCTAGATTTTGTTTAAGATTAATAGCCATTCTGTATAATCTGTATAATTTAAAGCTAAAGAAGCAAAAGATATTCATTTAAGTGGATAAAGTGTGAGTGTTTAAGATGCGCCTTTGATGGATTGTGATCGAGCATTGGCCGAAAGATACGATGGAGTTGATATCGCTTTTGAGAAAACGAAAGCATGGAGCAGGTTGGAGGGAATGTGAAATCACAGAAGCTAAATTAAATGCCAACTTTTGTCTAAAACATTTCAATTTACTATACTAAGGATAGTAAACTTGCAGCTAGCTTTTAGCAAATCTCTCTCTAGGGCTAGCTGTCTATCTTTTGTTTTCTGAAAGTTCTCAAAAGATAGACAGCTTGCAGAAATTAGAAGCAATATTAAACAATTTTGACAAATTTTAGAGAAAAAGAACCCGCTTTTATGTCAAGATTAAAGCTAAAGAAGCAAAAGAAAAAGAAAAGCAATATTTTGTATCAAAATTTCAGATATTGCAAAGAGTTAACAAATTATGTGAAGTCGCGTGTGACTATGGAAATCGAACACGCAAAAAAGACATCACAACTCGTTGAACAAACACGACTAGCAATACAAGAGGTGAGGAATTTGGGAAGATTTCAGGGTGATTTCCGATTCAGGATTTCCTACCGATGAAAGATCTCTTCAATGAGTCGTTTGATCTCGAAAATGAGCATTTTTTGAAGATACGTGAGGCACAAGAGCACTTAAATGAACGATTTATAAAGGTGATGAGATTTTTAGCGCTTATATTACATTATAAAAATGAATTTAGTCTTTGGAATCTCGTCGATTGGAAGCAGAAAGTACAAGGAGAACATTGAAGAACGAATGGAATAAAGCATTGAAAGGATTGGTTTGTTTTTGATGAAATTCGATGAAATTCTAGAATTTCTTTAATTATAGAAGTAAACTTTAAGATATTTTCAATGAGTTTTCAGCAAGATTCCGAAGCTGAACATCGAAAAGCACAGCAGAATCTGATGACAAGAGAAGATACGCTGAAAAAGGTAAGAGAGAAAAAGAAAAAGGTACATTTAAGTAAAAAAAACTAAAAAGAAAGTAAAGAAAGTTGCAAAAAAGAAGATAAATTCCCGATTTTAGGCAAGGGAAAGCTCACTTCGAACGGAAAATTATGGAGTGACAACGGATGTGATCAGGAAAATGGATAAGAAAAGAGTTCGAGAAGATGAAGCTTTACTTAAGGTAAACTTTATAAAGTAAAATTATAAATATATGAGTCTTTTTTTTTTAAAGTAAACAGTAAACTTGGATTGGATTGGATTGGAAAGATCCAAAATCAGTAGCATGTGTTTTTATCCAAAAAAAAAGAAATTGTCAGCGATTGACTCGAAATCTCACATGGTCAGGAAATCCATTCGCCACGGTATTTGATGATTTTCTCTCTTTTTTTAATCTCTTCTTATCTATGCTAAACAATATGAAAGCTTGTCTTTTCTAAGCTATTTTTCTCTTTCTAATAAACAAGCTAACACTTAAATAGCTAACACTTAAATAGTTAACACTTAAATAGATAACACTTACTATTAGACTAGTGAAAATTTAGGATAAAAGCATTATTCTACAAGAATCGTAAAAGAAAAGCAAAGAAAAATAGAGAAATTAGTTGTAGAGAAGACGAAAACGCATCGAATAATAGATAAATGACCGCGATAATAAACGATAGATAATAAATGATGATAAAGTCAACTTTTAGCCCGTATCTACCCCTTTAAAGTACCCGTTTAAAGCATTAAAGCAACGAATTTAAAAATAACAAGTAGATTGCGGTAATTCTAATCATGATCATCTTTCTCCCGTTTTTTATTTCCTAAAAACACACACACCCAGCTCCGATTTTCCTTCAGAAATCTCAGCGAGTGTGCCAGAAAGCGTGAGTTTCCTTTAAACACAAAATACGGGCAAATATGATCTCTTGTCCTTCTCTTCTTCCATCCACAAGGTCCATCACGGTCTCTTCTCCGCTCTCCTTCCCATTTCCGAATGAAATGTGTGACTCGTGGCCCTTCAGTGCCCATTCCCTTTCCTTAATTGAATTCACTCATGCCTCCCTCTCAACATCCCATCCATTTCTCTTTTCTCTATTTTCATTTTATCCAATGAAGGGGACCCCACTAGATCTTCACTAGTTAGCAGGTGTCATAGAATCAATTCTTTTTTCTGCTTTACCTTCTACTAACTTAAAAAAAAGTGCACTATGTTTTTAATATTTTGAATTTTTCAGCGAGAAGAAGCTTTGCAACAAGTTCGCAGTCTTGAAGCTGAAGTGCGACGGAGACAACGGGTTGTTGAGAAGTGCAAGGTTTGTAGGAGACAAATAAAAGTTATACAAAACTACAGACAACAGTACTCTACAGGTTAGAATGAAATCCGTTCGAACTTTCCTCAACTCCATTTTTAAAACCCCTTTAATAGTGATGAAAATTTGATGACCCTAATGAGCCAAGTGTCTTTTTTTTTATTTTCTCGAAAAATATCGAAAGAACTAATCCATTAAAGTAGTTGTTGAAAGGGGAAAAGAAAAAAAAGGGGAGAAATCGAGCTCTCTGATACAGAAAAATGAGGGGAAAGCACAAATGAATTTCCCACATTGCTTTTGCCTCTTTCTTTTCCTTGCCTACCTCAATACTGAGCCTTTTTTTTCCTAGCCAAAGCCGTATTGTCTTACCCGGGTTTTTTTTTTCAGTATTCTCTTTATTTCTGAGATGTTTTTGTGTGATGAAAGAACCCCCGATGGTCCTTAAATGGGGGTTCCCAGAAATTTGGCTCAAAATTCGAAAATCGAGACATCATTTTGCATTTTTCTCTAGCATTTATCAACGAATTCTCATTGACTTTATCTATTTCTAAAAGCCTAAAAGCTTTCAAATTTTAGTGACTTTATTTTAAGAAATAATAATGAACTTTGGGGCTAAATTTAAAAAGAAAACTTTTAAAATTCTAGTGATTTAAAAATTTTTATTTATTTCATTTCAGTTGTGCTCAGTCTGAGTTGATTCTTCTCGAAAATTCTGAAATTTTAAAAGAACTATACGGGTCTTTTCATTATGAAAAGTTATCATATGCGAAACGGGGAGTGGGACAAATGCGACCTTTTCTTTTGCGCACCCGGACATTTGCGCACCTTTTTTTCCGCACCTTCCCCATTAGCGCACCTTTTTTCGCGTTTTAAAAAGCTCTAAAAAGCTAATATTAACCAATTTCTATTCCAAAAGTTGTTTTTCTCGGTAATTTTAGGGCGTAGAATCGGAATTTTGGCATATCAGAGCTTGTGGAAACAAACGGACGGAGTTATACAAAGAGAAAAATCAACAATTTTCTGTAATTTGACCTAGCCGTTTTGCCTTTCAAATTGGTTATGTCAAAATGCTCTGTTATGTCAAAATTTGAATTCGACACCCTCAAATTACCTAGAAAAACAACTTTTGGAATAGAAATTGGTTAATATTAGCTTTTTAGAGCTTTTTAAAACGCGAAAAAAGGTGCGCTAATGGGCAAGGTGCGGAAAAAAGGTGCGCAAATGTCCGGGTGCGCAAAAAAAAGGTCGCATTTGTCCCACTCCCGCAAAACGCAAAGCCAATTCGATTCGAAAATTGAGTTTAGAATGGTAAAAACGCGATTGAAGTTGATGGGTTATTTTGCCTGTTTGTCCACTCCGAAATGATCTCTCAACTTCAATCCCGATTTTATATTATTATTATTATTAGATTATTTTTTTAAACTCAATTTTCGAATCGATGAAATGAAAATGAATGAAAATGAATGAAAAGACCCGAATTTCCGAGAAAAAGAAAAGCATTTTCAGGAGAAAACGATTGAGGCTCTTCGCGAACTTGTCCTTCAGTGCGATCAAACGACCAAAGCCTGTGCACAGCATTATTTCAAGGTCGGCTTAATTGTTTTGACTTTAAGAAAGGATCCGTTACATTTGAAATCATCAAATTATCTTTTAATAATGTTATTCACGTGTGCAAGTTGCAATAGGGCTTGAATTTTTCAAGTTCAATTTGAAATTTCCACACTTTTTATGCATCTTTGAGCATTCTACGAAGATCTGAATGGATAAAAGTCACATTTATCAAATGTCTTTGTAAACAAAAGACTCTCCTTTAAAGGAGAGTTATATTGTGAATTCCGAGCAAAGAGGAGGATGGAGGGTGTCCTTTTTGCATCCCACATAAAGAGTGGCCCCATATGGCCCCTTTGCCCCTTTCGCCCGTTCTCTTTCCTTCTTCCTCTCATTCGTCCTCTTCTTCTTCCTCTTCTTCCTCTTCTTCCTCTTCTTCTTCTTCTTCTACTTCTTCAAAAAACCCCTTCAAAACCCACTACTCAACTCTTCACTTTTGCTCTCCGTTTTCTTTTCTTTTCTCTTTTACTACTTCCTTGTCTCCTCCAAATTCGATTGGCCTTTTGAATCGAAACGACAAACTTTGCCACTTTTTTTTCAACGTCTTTACTTTGACTTTTAGCTTATGAAATTGTATTTTGTAAGACTTATAAGGTTTTTACATTTTGCCTAGATTTTATGTGTTCACGATGTTTGTGCAAATCTTTCAGAAAGCAATAGGAAATCTAACCAAACTAGGAATGCATATCTCTCAAACGGGCATGCAAAAATGAATAGGAAAACTTTTTTTTCGGGGAACGAGAAAAGTTTTTTCTCTGAAATGGGAAGGATTTCGTATTTCCTGCAGTCTTTTTTCCCAGTGTTCTCCCCTTTTTTGTCGTGATGTGTTTGCTGACCCAAGAAAGGCTTTGATTTTTTTTCTAGAAAACGAAAGACGACGAAAAGTCAAAAAGAAAACTTGTTAACAGCCTTGAATTCGAAAGATGTCCCACAAAGGGGGAATGGAAGAGGAAAGAAAGGATGGAGACGGTGACGCGTTTCCATCCCATTCCTCCAGAGTTCCTTCAACTCACTTTCCCACACATCGAATCATCGAACTTTTATGATATCATCCTTTAAAAATAATCAGTATTTGCTTGATCTATTTTTTTAACAACAATAAGTGTTTGCTTAATCTATTTTTCATTAAAGAAGGGACCGAATTAAGACCAATTCTCACTAAAATCAGGGACTGAGTTTTCCCGCTTTGGACATCGCTTTGCCCGAACTCTTCTGGTCACTTTTTCCTTGAAATTTCTTTGTTCTACAAGCTTTTTTTCACATCTACAAATTCCTTTGAAACCAAGATAATTTAGTTTTAATGAGAATCGGTCCCAATTCGAACCCATCCATCAATGTAACATACAATCCATTCCCTCAATTCAAACCCCCCTTTTCATAGATCTATTCCCCATTAGAACCGTGCTCCGAACAAAATAATATTTTGTTTGCCATTAATTGATGCTATTAATTGATGTCATTAATCATAAACGTGTTGGCAATATTTTGGCTAATTGACAATTCAAGAGATAGGTTAGGTTTCTTTTTATGAAATGTTTTCCCCTTCAGCATGAACTTTTTACAACTGCAAAAATGTGCAAATCTACTCGCATTAAACTTTAATGATTTTAGAATATTCTAAATGTTTTCTTCTAAATTATTTCTATCTGGATGACGTTTTTCCCTTGATTCTTGAGTACCCCATTGAGTGCGATCAGTTCTCCAAACTCATCCTCTTCCCCCATTGAGTGCGATCAGTTCTTCAAACTCATCCTCTTCCCCCATTTTCCCACCTAAAATCCCTCTTGTCAACATTCGTTTTTCTATTTTTTTGTCTCATTTGCACATGTTCTTTTTTCTTTTTTCCTTCCAAAACTTGAGTTATTTATCGTCGCCACGTGTGGTTTCTCAATGTGGTGTCACCTTTAAGAGACACTTCTTTCAATTTCGAGCCTACAAAGCAGCTTTCTGAACATCTCCATTCCTTCATAAGCGATAAAATCTCAAAAGATATTTGAATTTTCATGGATCTTCTTCTTAAAATCAGTCTCTTATTTCCTAGATCACTGAAAAATTTGTAAATAGTTTGACAAGTTGTAAATGAAGTACTTGCTTTAAGTCTTTAAAATAAAGCATTTTTAATCTATACATAATAAGCTAATCTTCGAATCTTTCCAATCTCCACCTAGTAAGCTAGGGATTTACTTCTCAAAATGAGTAGTTTCTCTTAGTTTTGGGCAGGTCCCTTCCAGATACACAGCTTCGAGAGTCGAGCATATTCGACCACGAAACACGATTCCACAAGAAGATTTTGGGAGATCCAAAAAAAGGGAATGGATAAGAAGAAGAGAAAGGAAAAGGCCCAGATTCGGCCGTCCATATCGAATCAAAGAGGAACTTTGAATGAGAGGAGAAGAGGGATGGAAGGGGACCAATCCCTTGCCTAGAAATCCCTCCCCATATCGATGCCCCTCTCTATATTTAAGGTCTAAAGGCATCCTCTCCTCTCTTTTTTTTTCTTTTCAAATTGTGTTTGTTCTTGCTCAAATTGGCGTGCTTTTTTTTATGATTTTGAATGATTTCAATAATTCACAAACTCTTGAGAAAATGAAAATTCGATTTCCTTTAAAATATTCGTTTCTCACGTTTCTCAAAACTCCTCAAAAGTTCGGAATTTTTCTTTCCAAAACGAACTGTGTGCGCTACTTATTCAAATTGGTCTTTTTTGGTCTTTCAAAAGCTTTCGAACTTTCCCTTCTTCTTCCAGGCTTCTTTCAACGAGTGGTTGGGGGTCTTAATGAGGTCTTTGGTTGGGCCAACACACGCAGCAGCAGTAAGCAAGCAGACAGCCAAGGCAAGGCAGAACACACCCAGCCCGAGCCTCAGTCGATCTCTCACCTCTCCTCCGCTCCTCCCTTCTCCTCCACCTCAAGCTGGTCTTAGTGTCCTCCATTTTTCCCCATTTTCCTCCTTTTCTCTTTTCATCCATAAACCTTTTTCTCTTCGTCAACTTTTCTTTTTCCCTTTTCCACACCAATGGATCAAAAAAAAAAAAAAAAGCCAAGTTTCAAAATTCCCTTCAAAAAGTTTACGGAAAACTTTCTCTCTTTACTCACTGACTAAAATTTTTGTGTGTATTTAAAGGAATTTCAAGTCAAAAGTCAAAAGGAATTTTTCTGATCACTTCCGCATTTTTGTCACCGAAAAACTTTCCCTTTTTAAGTCGTTTTTTTTTTCAAAGAAGAAGCTCTCCAAAATATACGCTCTTGATTTTTGAATATCTTGAATATTTTGGATGATTTTCAAAAAAATGTATACAAGGTGTTCGAAAAAAAAACAGTGGTCATCGGTTTGAGTCTGGAAAAGTCGTTTGAGGCTTGAGTCGTTAATCTTTCAAGGCACATCGTGGTGTCAAAAATGGTTTTGCCTCAGGCGCCACACAACAAGATTATGGTGATGGTGATTTTATGAATAGGTCATGCAACGGCTGGGGAGCTCAAATTCCACGCAAAATACATAAAAACACTTTTAAATTCCTCTATTTCAACACAAAGCTTTCTACTATTTGTTGCTATAAATCTGTTTTGTTCTTTTAATATTCTAGTCAAAGAGGAAGGGCCTGCGGTCTATCCCGTCCGATCTACCAAGTTAAGCAACGTCGGCGCTAAGCAGTTAAGCAACAAAAGGATAGTTGTGGGTTCGACTTTTGTGGGTTCCCCTCCGAGCGCCCCAGCCTCGGAGGGGAGCCAACCACCACCAGCACCAGCAAGTCGAAGACTTCGAACCAGGAACAATCAAGCTAGGAAACACTGAATGACAATAGCAAGGGATAGAGAAATGTGGAAGCAGGTTGTGATCTGCGCAAAATAGGAACACCTGAGTGCGAAGACAGATCAAAAAAAAAAATATTCTAGTCACAATTTCAGTTTGCATTTTTGGATTGGTTGTTTCAAAAATATTAAAAATATTGTTAATTTTTACATGAGAAAATCCTCTTGTTCCTGTTTAACCAGGATCGACTTTTTTTGAGAGGCTCTTATTCTCAAGATCCTAATTTCAAAAAAAAAAAATTTATAGAAACAAAGAGTAGAAAGCTTTGTGTTGAAATCGAGGAATTTAAAAGTGTGTTTTTTATGTATACGTGGATTTTGAGCTTCCCGGTTGCTGCATGGTCTATTCACAAAATCATCACAAAAATCAACATGATCTTGTTGTGTGGCGCCTGAGGCAAAACCATTTTTGACACCAGGATGTGCCTTGAAAGATTCACGACTCAAACCTCAAAAGACTTTTCCCTGACTCAAACCGATGACCACTTTTTTTTTCGGACACCCTGTATAGTTGTCTATAATAAAATAACTAAATAATATTATAGACATTTTATGAAATAAAATGTATATAATAAAGTATAGATACCTACAGTAATTTCTCATTTTTTTTTTTTGAGTTTTATAATTGGTTTCAAAATGGAGAAGTCAAACTGAAGCGAAGCCTCAGAATCGGCTGTTGACTCAAAATTTTGTACTTATTTTTGCCCTTTGTTTCCATTTTTTCTTTTTTTTGGAAACCTTATTGTTTTTTTTTCAAAAAAAAAAGATGTTCAAAAATGTTGCTGTTGGGTGTGTGACGTGTGAAAATTTGAAAAGAAAAGGGGAAAGGAGACACATACATTTGCACTGAATCCCTTCTATCACCAAAAAAGTGAAGCCCCATGTTCGCTCCGAGAAGAGAAAAAAAAATAGAGTGAATCAAATTTCGGGGAGACTTTTTGGTGCGGAAAAGAACGACCATTCGACCCTCACTTTTTTATTCAGAGAATCTCGCGAATCTCTCGTTTATCAATTCGAAAATTTTCATTTTCTTCTATCCACAAAATTCTTTCACTCAAATTACTTTTGTTGCAAAATTTGAGTCATTCATTAATGAAATTTGAAATTTTTTGACAAGACAAACGTGACATTTCACTAAACTTCTCCAATTTTTTCGATTGTCGTCATCATTTGGGAAAGTTGATCGAAATTTTGCAGACTTTCCAAAGAATTTCTCAACTCCAATTGTTAGATTGTTATTATCATTTAAAGATTAGCAAATATTAGATTGGAAAGAAAGTTCGTAGAAAAAGTTTGCACGGTGATTTCTCAAAAACCAAGCCATCAATTCTTCCCAGATTTTTTGATAAACTTGACTATGCAAAAAGTTTCTAATCAAAAAAAAAATCAGAGTGAGCTTCAGGCAAAAAAATCAGAGATTTCTTCAGCTGAAGTGACTTGGTCACTTTTTTGAGTGACCAGCCTTTAGACAAGTTTTTAATGGGTTAATGAATAGGCAATGGGTCCCATTCAAAACCTAAAATCAAGTACTTAAAATAGGGAACATTTGTGATAAAGGCAAATTTTATTTAATGCTTTTTAACTTTTCAGAATCACCTATTTTAGCTAAACACTCAGAAGATGACACTAAAAAAAATGATTTTTTTAAAATACAGCTTCTTTGTAAAAAAAATTTGTTAACCAAAAATAGAGATGATAGAGCGTATTGCTCTAGAATCCTATTTATCCTAATTATAAAGCGTATTGCTCATTTATGCTAGCTTTACCTCATAAGGAATCGTTTTTCTCGTGCAAAAAGTGAGCTGAATTTAAGCTTGGAAAATAAATCATTTTTCAAAAATCTCTAAAATTTTAAAGAAAAGCTGCACTCATTTCTTTCAGTTCTTTTTACGAGTAATTTCTTGGAGTCCGCTTGTAAATAATAGAACAAAATGTTCTTGAATTGGTGGAATTCAGGATCGTTTTGAAGAAATCCCGGTCAAACTTTTTCCGAGAACTCTCTCTCCAACCTCATCGATTGCTAATCTTTAACTTGATTAGATTTTCAGTCATCTAAATCCTTCAAAACCTCTCTGTTATCATTTTGTTTTTGATTCGTCTATTCCATGAAATTCGTCATACTTCAAAATGAGTAACTATGTGCTTGTGTGATTTCATATTTCTTCAGTGATTCCTTTCCCTTCTTCCCCTTCTTCCCCTTCTTCCCCTTCTTCCCCTTCTTCCCCATCTTCCCCTTCCTCTCCACTTCCTCCAATCATCACTTCTCATCTCCGAGATTCTTCCCAGATTCCCACCACTCTTTTCTATCTTTTCCACTCGATTTTTCTCCTTTCAAAACTTTTCCCCGTTCTGCGTCATCGATACTCGGCATCTTTTATTAGGTCTCCTCTTTTCTCCTTTCTTTTTTTTTCGCACACCTATTATTCTCAGCCAACTTTTCACGCATCACGAACGAAATCATTGAATTAGAGTGCAAAAATGATATAGAAAACCATTCTGATTCACTCTATTCGATTTTTTTTTGTTAAGATATTCTTTTTGTAAAATGAAACTTTTAAAAGTGTTGACCTTGATGTTCTCATGATTTTCTTTCTCTCTTCTTGTCGATTCTCTAAGTCGATCATTTGGTTAAAGGCTCAAATTTGGGAATTCCTTTGACAAATTTCTCATTTCATTATTTCATTCCCGTTGCACGAAACGTTTTGAACACTTTTCCCCAATTCATCTTTTATATTGACATCTCTTATATTGACGTCATTCATGTTTTGATATCATTTATTCAAATGCTTTCTTTCAAATTAGCGTTCTCTTTGTCAAAGACAAAAAGTCAAAAAAAGGGGAAAGTGTCAATTGATTCATCTTAAAAACAGACAACACACAAGACCCGGAGTTGATTTCCATAAAAAGCCATATCAAAGTGTTGAGGGGAAATGGAATGGTGAATGGGCAAAGAAGGCAAAGACAAGCGCAAAGAAAGCAAAGACGAATGGGGGGTCTCAATTTCGGCCAATCTGTCTCATTTCTCTCTTTTCGCATTCAAAAATTGCCTTCCCGATTCACTCTCTGTCCTATTCTCCAATTTTCTTCACTCAATCGTTCTCCCTCCCCCCGCCGTTGTCGTTCGTCTCAAAGCATGAATAAGTGATCGGTCCAGTGCCACAAAAAAAACACACCGCCTTTTCCCCGTTTCCATCTGCCAAAACTGTTCTTCCCCATCTTCTTCCTCTCCTTCTTCTTCTTCCTCTTCTTCTTCTTCTTCTGCCAATTCCCGCGATTTCATTTTCCACTTCCCTATATATATTATGGGAAAAATTCAACAAAATTCTTTGAAAAATCAACTCTCTGAGCCTTTAATTCACACATGTGTAAGTGTATTTTTAAAAAAAAGAAAACGATTCCAGAAATTTCCCCTCACAATTCCCAGTTTTCAGGCGTTGTCGGCTCTGTGGGTAGGCGTGCCGGCCCGCTATCAGGTAACAAAATCAAAATATCTATTGCTCTTACTAAAGAAAATATCTAGGAGCTGGCTGATGCATCTCGAGACTATCAACCAGGCCGCGAGTACATGGCCTTTCTTCAGAATTTACCCCAACAACCGCATCGTGCCAATTCACAGCATTCCCTTTTAAGGTTGATTACCGTAATCTTGCTCATCCAATCGATTTTGTTGTTTAGAAGTGACAAGTCGGTTGATGATCTTTCGTCACAAGGGGAAAGTTCATTGACAGCACAGCGAAGAAATGCTCTCAATCCTGATAATGCAGAAGCACTTCCAGATACGAGAAGACATAAAAAGACAAGCTCTGGTTAGTTCAGAAATTAAATTCAAAATAAAATTGTTTAATCTGATATTTATCGTGAATCTCAGCAGGTCGATTGTTCGACGAATTATCCGGAAGCAGCTCAATCTCATGAATGGTCAAGGTCATCAAGACCATCAAAGTGTTCTCATTGTGATACTCTGTCGATTCTTTTCACTGTCACTTGTACAAGATGTGGATTGAATTGGCACAAAGGTTGTTATCCAAAGGTTTGTCCAAGAGTTTTCAATCTTTTTTTCATCTTTTTGTTTAGATCACTCTTGTTTGTGGTCAAGGTAGTCGATCGCCCACTGAGCGACGAATTTCTATGTTTGGAGTGTCTCTACAGGTTTGAAAAAAAGATATCTTTTGAATTTTCAAATAATTTCTAGAAACAATTGGAGGAACAGAAACGGGATATACCATTGATTTTGGAGGATGTGATTGATGAAATACAAAGAAGAGGACTTCGGATGAAAGTGAGGGGGGAAAGGGATGATGAGATTGGAAAATTGTATTGTATTGTATTGTATTGTACAGGGTGCGTCATAATTATTGCAACAAGAGTTCAAAGACCGTTTTCCAAACAGCTTTCTTATTTTTTTTGCCCCTTTTTTTTGTTATGTTGCGTTCTATCTTCTTTATTCTTGCCTAATTGCCTTCCGCTCACACGAAGAAGACGGTTCAGGACTGGTGTGTGGCCAACTTTCCCCTCAGTGATCACCAAGGATGAATGACCTCCAAACTCACCGGATCTCAATGTGATGGGCTTTTCCATTTGTGCAATCTTAGAGGCTAATGTCTGCTCTTTGACCTTGAAGAAGTCTTTGACCAAAGGATGGAAGGCGACTCCTCAAGATGACATTCGGGCCGCAGTGGAGGCATATCCGAACCGATTAAGGGCTGTTATCAAGGCAAAAGGCGGTCATATCGAATGATCTCTTGTTTCCTTATTTGTTACTGTTAAATAAAGCTATTTCTGTTTAAAAATCTTCTTCCAGTGAAACTTCTTGGTGTGAAATGCCTTGAGTATCTTGTTGCAATAATTATGACGCACCCTGTATTGTATTGTATTTTATTGTAAGATTGCAAAAGTAAAAGTAAACTTAACAAAAACGAATGATGAATACCTAGGAAATAAATGGAAATATCTTTTTCTGGAATTTTCATTTCTTTAGGGAATCTACCGAACTTGCGGAGTGAAATCGAAAATCGAGGAGATCTGTGAGATGTTTGAGAGGTGAGAGATGGGTAAAAAGATTGAAATACTTTAAACAAAAAAAACTATTACAAGTTGATTAAAAGTATAAAGAGTTTCTTTAAGATATACTGGCACCTCACACATTCCATTGAATGATGTTTATCCAATGAATTTGGCAAGTGTTGTTAAATTGTATCTGAGAAAACTTCCCGAACCACTAATGACATTCGATTTGTACGGAGAGTGGATACGATTTGGACAGGTAAATAAAGAAAATTACTGTAAGAATCGAATAGAATCGAAGAATAAATACGACTTTATATTGTATTTTAGCAATTCTCGTCAACGGTTGATGTCGATGAGAATGATGTGAACGATTTGGGGTGTTTGATCGCAAAATTGCCGAGAGTTAATTATGAGACATTGAAATTCGTGATCCTTCATCTCAATCGCGTTTCATGGTTTGTTTTATAGCTTATTAGATTGGGTTGGTGAGTTGAAAACTGCCGGACTTTGAACTAAAATTTATTCAACATAAAACCATAAATTCATTCCAAATAATTTCCATTATTATTGACGACTTCTGCCCATTTTACAGGCAATTTACGGATTCCTCTTTCGTGGTAGGATTTTGGTTTTGAATCGAAAAACTTTCAAAGCCAATTTTAAAAGAGAATGGTACAAGAGAAAAAGAATGAATGTTGTTGATTTAGTTGTTGACCTAATTCATTGTAAAAGAGTAAAGAGGAGACTGAATACCATTTAGACACCATTTTTGGGGAAAGGAGCTGGAGGTTTATAAATATGAGAGATCATAGAAACAAGAATTTCTTTCTTTAAAAGAATATCAAGAATCTCTATTAAGTTTAATTCCAAATCAATTCTCTATACTAATGTACACTTTTGATTTTCTTTATCCGATAAATAAGATCTATTGGGTTGGTGAATTGGAAACTGCGGGACTTTGAACTAAAATTTATTCAACATAAAACCATGAATTCATTCCAAATAATTACCATTATTATTGACGACTTCTGCCCATTCTACAGGCAATTTGCGGATTCCTCTTTCGTAGTAAGATTTTGGTTTGTGTGTGAGACAAGTGTGAGACTCAAAAATGGAGGATTGGAGACATCTCCAGTTTGAGCGCTTTCTTCAAAAGAAACCCATTTTGGTGTCAATAGAAAAGTTGTAGAGAATCAAAAATTAGGCTTATTAGGCTTATTAGGTTTATAGCCAAATTTCCAAAAAGATACACTTAGTAGTTTCGCTTAAAATGCAAGTTTTGTGAAAATTCGTGAATTTGGCATTTCTTGAAAACCAGTTTTTGAATCGTTCTGAAAATTTGGATATAAGCTTCATTTTTGATTCTCTACAACTTTTTCATTGACACCAAAATGGGTTTCTTTTGAAGAAAGTGCTCAAACTGTCACATATGACAATAGCCCGCAGTTTTCAATTCACCAATCCAATAGATATTTTATTATACTAATGATTTGTTTTGAAGGTTTTCTTCATGCAATCTCATGTCTCCATCAAATCTTTCAACTGTGATTTCTCCATCGCTTTGTTGGCCTCAAACTTGCCAAGTTCAAGTAAAAAAGATTGAAAACTATTGGAAATGCAAAACTTTATCAAATGATTTTCTTAATCAAACATTTACAGGCTTCATCTTTTATTCAAGATGCTCATTACGTCACGAAAACCGTTGAAATAATGATCGCTAATGCTCATGTAAGTTTTCTAAGAATTTTTAAAAAAATAATCTTTCAGAGTTTATTCAATGTGGATCGAAATGTGGATAGAGTCGATTTCTTCACAAAATATCCACAAGAAGAGCCGGATTGTGGGAAAAATGGAGATGGAGAAGAGAGAGATACAAGTGTTGTTGACGAAGAAGAACAGGATCAGGTTGATTTGCAATGCAAATAATGAGTCGATTATATAAAGTCATATTGCACAAACTACAAGGCAATCCAATCTACAATACAAATGTTTAGGAAGAGTACGACGACTCGTTTTGTATGCAACAACCGCCAACGCCGGATCTCCTGAAAAGTGCAAGAAAGGTTGGAAAAGATTCTTAAATATTAATAAATTCAGTGCTTTTTAAACAAACAAATTATTCATTCGATTTATTCACACGAATATTGTGGTAGAAACAATATATAAGCATAATCCTTAAGCTCTAAATATAGGGAAGAAAAAACCCATATAGATCAAAAAAAAATCTCTCGCTATCTAGCTGAGCCCTTGGCCTTCCGACCAAGATACAGAACTCTTAGACAGTCGGCCATAGGGAAATTGTTCTTCAGATCGAGAAATCGTAAAGTATCATCGAATTCAGGCAAACGGTGCTCCGCCAAGCGAATGTGGAAGTGAGGGAAGTTCGACGGGAATCACTGGCGCATTCATGAATCGATCGGATAATCCACCATCAAGATTTAGGTTGGAAAAGAGTTATTTTCATTGATGAGCTTTTGCATGAGACACTTTATTTTAATTGTTTTAAGGAACTAATAGCTTTTGACGCATTATAGTGAGATTATGGGACTTTTGATACGCCGTCCCCTTTGCGATTGGTAATCCAACTTTGAGCTCAAATATCTTGATGTCGATCTGTTTACTTTAAATAATTTTAATATCATTAGATGCGTAAAGTCTTTCTCTGTCGATTGGTATAAAAACTATTTAAATTGAACAGCCCAACACGAAGATATTTGAGCTCAAAGTTGGATTGCCAATGGGAAATGTCCGATAACCAATAGTAAGCCTAAAGTAAAAACTAAAACTCTTTAGTCTTTTCATCTTCAAAGATACTTTTATTTTTTTTGCATAATACGCATGAAATGTAAACTTACAGTATTCTAAAATATCGAATTCGATCAATTTTTCTCAGTCTAACTTAAGCAAAGCATGCTTTCCCCCTATGATTTCCCTGTCACTAACAAATTTTCATTCAAAACACTCTATTTGCTTTTATTTTCAGCATGATTCCCATTTTCTGTTGCTTTTCTCATTCTTTTCTTTTCAAATTTTTAACCAAAAATCTTGTGTGTAGAGGAAGCGATAAACGGGAATCGTTCACGACTTGCATCATCGTCGCTCCGTCAACAACATCAGCGCCGCCAACACCGAATTTCATGAACACTCAACCGTCAACATCCACTCAACAGCAAAAGATTCCGGCTAGAAAACAGATGTAAGAATATTTTACATATCTAGAACAAAAAATAGATTTATTTACTTCTCCATTCATTTGATTTGTTAAAAAAGAATTTCTCCATATCTAATTATGCTCATACTTTGTGCTCTGACTCTAATCACTTTGTAGAATCAAGTGTACCAGTGAGCAATCGCTTGCGAGAGCACAAAGTACGGGTTTCATTTTTCACATTTTTCTATATTTGTGGGCTTCTTTTGGGTAAAACATTCTTCACAATTTTCTTCTCATTTCTTTGTTTTTCTTGTGTTTCTCACTGGATCTTCTTTCTTATTTTTTGGGGGAAAGCAAGCGTTCAGAGCTATAAGTACAATGTTTTTAATCTATAAATAATCAATGATTATTCAATCAATCAACTAAGAAAGATTTTCAGCTCTGTGGGCGCTGAGGGAAGTCATTATGCGTGTGGTGACATTGTACTCAATGTTTCAGAGGTGAGAAACATTTAGATCATTATTCCCTTGCTATAATTTTGAAGAAAAAAAAAAGTCAAGCTTCTGATCGGAAAATGTAAAAAAAATAACTCTAGGGTCAATTCTTTGTGCCCGAGAACGGAATCATTCAGAATGGAGATCGGAGTCCGGCTGGGAAAAGCAATCACTCAGTGTAAGTGAACGAAGCGATCGTTATCGATTTTTCAAATCTCTTTTTTTTCAGTTTCGATTACGGTAGCAGCTCAGGCTACAGCACTTCGGAGTGTTCAAGAGAATCGGATGTGATCAGTCAAAACTCGACTCATTCCTCGTCAATTCATCCAATCCATCCAATCCATCCAACTCATCCAATTCCCCCGTCCACTCGATCTCCAACACAAAGATCCTCAAAAAGATCGGAAATTCTTTCCACGGATAAAGGTTTTAGCTATGTCTAGACAAAAGAAGAAAGGCAATTCTCTTCCATTCTCTTCTTATATATTTTCTATGTAATCATTTCATTTCTATGTTTATTTTTCTCTCCGGTGTACCCTATAAAAGCATTTAGTCAAACGTTGAACCGCTTATTGATATGTTTCCTCATTTTCCCCCAAAAAATCATTCTTAATTCCTCTATCATTTGGGCCAAATCATAAATGAGATGTATTCCATCATTTCCTTTGCCGTTTCCTTTTTTTTCTTTATCGTGTACATCCCAGTTACGGGCGTTTTCTCGATCATTTTCCCCATCTTATCCATTTCTACCGTAATATCTGCTAAACGTTTGCTAAAAGGTGCCCTTAAAAAGACACAGGTATTACGGTATGTTCTCTTGAAATTTCTCATTTCTTTTTTTGACAATTTCCTTGCCAATTCTCTCACCAAACAATTTCCATCGCTATCAGATATTTTAATTCCTTTTATTCATTTTATTCATTCTATTTTTGTGCCATTTGAAGTAGTCTTTTTTCTTCTGTGTGATTCTTGTACATATTCACTATTTTAAAAAGAAAAATTCTTAAAGGGGCATAGAAAAAAGAAAAAAAAACTTTATATACTGACGTCATCACATAAAAATTAACATTTTCAATTGACTAATTGACTTTCAATTGACTTTTCCAAACAAGCCTATTTGCGAGGTATTTAAAGGCTCCGTGGAAATAAAAATCGCTCAAAAACTCGTGTTTTTCTCAAAAATTGTCAAACTTTCGATATTTTCTAATATCATATTCGTGATTAGGAGATAAAAATACGTATATTAAGTGTCATACGTACTTCATTTGAGTAAGTCATTTTATGCTGTGCCCCTTTAAACTTTTTGTTTTATCATTTCTGGAAACGATTGTTATTTTTTTTTATTTAAATTAATGTCGCGTAATAAACGTGAGGAAATCTCAAAAAATACCGATTCTCAGAAAGTTTATTATAGATTTAGTTGCATTTTCAAATATCATACAGACTTTTATTTTCTTTAAGACTCTAAGAAAAGCCTGGAGTTTTCTGAACTGGACAATAGTCTCAAAGCTTAAAATTGTTATGCCTAAAAATAAGTTACTTTACACTTGATACAACCAGATCATGCGAGATCCAGACAGGTACGATCTCGATGGCCCTGACCCTGGAAAGTTAAGGCAAACAAGTATTACTTTTTTACAAATTTTGTTCAAAACTTTAAACTGTAAAGTGATGCTTGTTCTCAGCTTTATTCAAAAAAATATAGTCTAAGAGTTGGAAGTTGAAAAAACTTTTGAAAATCAGTTTAATTTTCAGTGATTTTCAGTGAAGCCAAAGCTTTTGACGGCAGCCATGTCACGGTCAAATTTCAAGAAGAAGATGCCGATGAAAAAGAGGTCGATTTTTTGCAAGAATTCCCACACACCAACTTTGCCTTTGAGGTTGGTGAAACTAAAGTGTGTTCTTCAAGAGTAATGCCTTTTTTTTAAGCTCGGTATTAACGGTTTAATTACCCAAGTTTGAGGTTTCGAAATGGCAAAACGCACGAAGAAGGTCATCCCCTCGCTGCTTAACTTGACAGATCTGACGGGACATCCTACGCATCCTCTCCCACCACCCACGTTTGCCCTCCCACTCACACAAGTGACTACGTTTTCGCGAAGACGCTCGGACCTGATTACCATCTTGTTGTTGAGGACCTGCCTGAGGTTGCTCCTTCCCCTTTTTTCCCTGCTTTGGCTCGAAGAAGTTATGATCGTTTTTTGTTGGATCAAGTTTTTGGCGCCTATGGAGTTGATGGCCACCTTCTGCATGCGTACAGGATGGGCGTCTATTCTCCATCCAGACCGCGACCCATGAAACTGATAGTCGCTTCGTCTCACACTGCGTCTGGCCTCGTTGCATCGTTCAAAAAGTTCGGCACCTGCCTTCTTCCATGGGCATGCCGCTTCATCGCGATTCGCCGTTCGGATCCGCAGAGAGCACCTCCTCGAGCCACGCAGTTCCCGTCACATGTGAATCACAACAAGATCCGTCTGAATTCGATAATTACTCAATCTACTGCTCAATCTCGTGTTGAGAATGTCGACATCTCTACTGGTACCACCCACACAAGTGACAATCAACAACAAGTCATGGTGAAGCCAATAATGATGGACTCCTGCGTTAATACCGAGCTTTCTTTTGATGGCTCCCCGGAGGACACGCTCAATACGATTCGCGTTGAAACGGCAAAGAAGAAAACCCCCGGACGACCACCCAAGAAGCATGGGCAACAGAAGATTCATCACGAGCAATCCTATCGTAGTCGGAAAATCATGTCGAGGGACGGCAACATTGGAGCCATCGTGATCAAGCAGACATATAACTCAGACACGCCTGGCGGAAGCCCTTCATCAAAGTTTGCGAAGGTCGCCGTCCCAGCGGCTTCCCACCCTCATTCGCCACCCCCAACATCACCAGGATAAATGACCCTACTGCATTGTTTTCTTTTATTTTTGCCAATGTTCACTCAATTGTTTCCAGAAAACGCCTTTCTTATGTGCAATTTTTGACCCGCTCAAAACATTTTGATTTCTTAGCGTTTTGTGAAACCTGGCTTAACGATTCTTGCCCCTCTTCCCTTTTTGATCCTTCATCTAATTACTCAATTTTTCGTTGTGACCGTAATAGCAATACTAGAGTTCGTGGCGGCGGCGTTATTCTTTTTATCTCGCGCAAAATAATTTCAAATCTTGTTTTGAGTACGAGTCTTTCTGGATGTGACATTCTGATTGTTGATTTTAATTTAGGTAATACTGCTTTCCGTTTATTTGTTGTGTATCGTGCCCCAGATGTTAACCCTTTAGATACCATCAGCTTTTTTAACCTGTTAGATCAATATTTTGACCCTTGTAAATCTAATTGCTTTGCTGGGGATTTTAATTTTACCATCTTATCTTCTCAAAAACAAAATTGCCCCCTAAATCTCTCTCGATTTCCTCATTTGTCTAGATTTCTCATGTCAAATAGCCTTAAAATTTTTAAATAACTTCCCTACTTTTCGGAGAAGTGATCATGTTCTTGATTTAATCCTATCCGATTCGCCTCATCTTCTTTCTGAAATTTCCCCTCTGCCACCTATTGGAGGCTCCGATCACTTTGCTTTGACCTTCCGTTTTGTTGTAAATCCTATCGTTTCTCCCATAGGCGCCAATCCTATTCGTGCTTATTGGAGAGGTGATTTCAATGCTATATCGTTTTCTTTAGTAAATTTCAATCTCCTCTTCAGGCCTCGATTCGACACGGATATCAACGTGTGCTACGCCCTCCTCACTGATACGATGCACAAATTGCTGATTGAACACATTCCGCTCTCGACCAAAGGTAGCTTTTTTTCCTCCGCCTCATATTACTCGAGCAAAGGTTAGGTTAGAGAAAGCTTGGCATCTTAGGCATACTCCCTTTTATGCGCGTTTAGAATATACTTTGCGTAAGCAGGTGATGAAATTTGAGGCAAATATTGAACGCAAATGCGTTTTTAGCAATAATCCAAAATCTTTTTACTCTTATATAAATTCTAAAATTAGTTCAAATCACGATTCTTCCATTAAATGTATAATTAATCCTTCTTCCAATTCTCTTATAGACAACCCTTTAGACATAGCAAACTCTTTTGCAACTTATTTCGCCAGCGTTTTTCAATTGATAACCTTAGCGCTATTCCTCTACTCCCAAATCGCCATTCAAACTGTCCCGCACTTATTTTCACTCCTACTCTTGTTGAAAAAGCTATAACCAAACTTTCAAATAAAATTTCCTACACCCCCGATGATATTCCCTCTTTTATCATTCGCCAAACCAAATATCATATTTCCCCCATCCTTGCAAAAATTTTTAATGTTTCTCTTTTAAATTGTTCTGTCCCCACTGACTGGAAAACCGCCGTAATTTGCCCTCTTTTCAAAAAAGGCGATCGTAAGCAACTTGCGAATTATCGCCCGATCGCTTTGACCTCATCTATATGCAAAATAATGGAAGCTATCATTAAGGATCACATTACCACTCATTTGCTAGAGAACAAAATTCTTAACCAAAATCAGTTTGGTTTTCTTAAGTCTAGGTCTACCTCTGATCAATTAATTTTGTCAATTCACGACTGGTTGTGGGCCAAAGCGCGCAAATCTCAAACCTGCTGTATTTTTATTGATTTTGCCAAGGCTTTTGATTCTGTAAATCATCGATTCCTTCTAGCCAAGCTTACTTCCTTAGGTATTTCTCCGCTTATAGTTAAATGGATCGAAAATTGGCTTTCCCGTCGTACTTTCCGTGTTCGTATCGGTGATACACTCTCAAACGAGTTTACCATCTCTAGTGGTGTTCCGCAAGGGAGTGTTTTAGGTCCTCTACTTTTCCTTATTTATATCAACGATATTCATAGTTCTTTAACTCCCGGTACCATGGTGCGTCTCTATGCAGATGATTTAAAACTTTATCGCAAAATCCCCCGATCAAACACCCAATATGGTCTTTATTATCTTCAGAGAAATTTAGACTCGATCCTAAAATGGAGCATAACCTGGCAGCTGAAAATTGCCGTCGAAAAATGTAGACAAGTAACATTTGGTCCTTCCCATTTTACTCTTAAGTTAGGGAATATCACTTTATCTGAAGCCACTTCTGACGACCCAATCAAAGATCTTGGTGTTTTACTTGTTCCCTCTCTTAAATTCAACACTCATATTGAACAGATGGCAAAAAAAGCTTTTCGCATCTCAAACCTTATACTTCGCGCTGTTTGTTTTCCCTCAATTGCTACTTATCGTAAAGCGTTCATTACCTACTGCCGCCCTTTGCTCGAGTACGCCACTTTTGTTTGGTCTCCCTGCCTCCAAAAGTTAATTTCTTTGGTTGAGAACGTTCAGCGTCGTTTCAGTAGGAGGGCGTATGCCCGTTGTTTCCCATCGAAAGAAATTCCTTGCTATTCTGATCGACTTGCTGTTTTTGACCTTAAACCCTTATC